CAGGATAAAAATGTTCTTCCCGGTTCCAAAAGAATGCATTTTCACTTCATTTGCAGTTGTGTTGTTTCAAGTTAAAACTTAAGAGTGCATTTTCCCAGTCAGTCCTGCATGTCTGACTATCATAATGCTGCGCGCATTCCTGCACTCGAGAGCAGGAGGATCTTCTGTCATCACTATTAGGCTACATCTTAAACGACCCTCATCACAGGCCTAAAGACTGCTCCCATAATCCCCCACAGTCATCATGTGTATAAACAAACATAAACATTAAGGGCACAGCACCAGCTGCAGAAAGTACAAATTTAAAAATGCTGGTAGCCTATGTCCACAAGCAAACACTATAAAAAACACCACTACAAGAGCTTTGGTTTTGAACTTCAGTGGATTTTAAAAATATTTCCTGTGTCCTGAAGGAAGGACAGTGGGCACAATTTCTGAGAAAATATATTTCTGAAAATAAGGTCAAGTGACTTGGTGTAAAAAAAAAATGCTGGCATCAACTTGCCATCTGTATCTAAAACTGTGGCTGCATGCCACGAGAATGCCACTGACCTCGGGGTAAATGTTGATTGTGTTTACATAGGGGGGAAAAGGAAATAAAATATATAAAGATATACCCTAATCAAATCTTAAGGATGTATTGTATAGGGAAGCCTAACTCATGATGTCCGACATAACATAAATCAGTCGAAGCTTGTTTTGATACATTTTACATACATACACTAGAAACAAAAGCGGAAAATGCGTGAAAACAACCTTACACTTGCAAGACACTAATTCTCTTGATCGGAAACAGGTACACTGATTTGAGAAATTATCCGTGGAAGCTGAAGGCAGTCAGCGCCACCCTAAACACGCGCTTTCACTGGTTAAGAACGCGGAACAAATGGGCGGGCTTAGATCGCTCAGCACAGCGACCAATAGCGTTGCGCGAAGGCGATGACTGACGCGTCCATTCCCACCAATCAGCGCGATCCAAACCAGCGCGTGAACAACCCACCCAGCTGGGTATATATTCAGCGATGACAGCTCGCTAATCCACTGCGTTTGCTTCGACAGCCCAGCGCAAAGAGGAAACCTCGAACACAAAAGCGACTCTTCCAACCAAACTGTTTCGTACAGAGGTGTCAACATGAAGGCAGTGAGCCCAGTCAGGTCTTTCCGGAAAAGCAGCGCGAATGTGACGGAGCACAGTCTGGGAATCTCACGGAGCAAGACCCCCGTGGACGATCCCCTAAGCCTGCTGTACAACATGAACGATTGCTACTCCAAACTGAAGGAACTGGTGCCGAGTATCCCGCAGAACAAAAACGTGAGCAAAATGGAAATCCTGCAACATGTCATCGACTATATCCTGGACCTTCAGATCGCACTTGACTCAAATTCCGCAATCACCAGCCTGCATCACCCGCGAGCAGGGCAGGGGACATCCAGAACACCCCTGACAACACTCAACACAGACATCAGCATTCTCTCATTACAGGTGAATGTCCTTAGATAGATACTATTCTATCTATCTGATCTATCTATCTATCATCTACTTCTCTCTGCATGTGAATTTTTAAATGTGTTATGTAAAGCTACATTGATTTGTTGCATGTTTTTGTGCAAATAACCGGACTTAATAAAATACTTAATAAATACGTTTTTTTTTCCTTTAGACACCTGAGTTTCAATCAGACTTGATCACAGAGGACAGCAGGACGCTTTACCGTTAATCAGGTAAATGCTCTTTTAATAAGCCTTGTATTATATGCTGTAAATGATGGCCAAAAAAAAATAAATAGTAATAAAAATTGTGTGCCGTCAGAGCAGTGTTTAATTTCAAGAGTGTCTAATCAAATGTGTTAAGGACCATTGTGTCACATAGTCTGTAAAGTTGTATAAAGTGTGTAATAAGCATCAGCGGAGGTTGAAATGCAAGCATTGAGCGAAGGCAGAAGTTGTGCTCGTGTACATCTGGAGCCCAGGGTTTTGCTCAGTCTCTGAGTGTTTGGTTAAATGTTCAAACTGCGGCTTCCTCTCTGGCGCCAGGCTGTCCGGATCTCTGCCCTGTTTGCATTCTCTAAATGCGCCTCTTTCTCAATCTTTTGCAGGTGTTTGGTTAAGACACATGAACACACAGGACCTGGGAACTGGCTTTTCCTCCAATTTCTGTTCTCAGTCTGGAGTTTTTTTTTTCTTCTATCTTTCCTGTAATTGGACCTGGGAACTGGCTTTTCCTCTGATTTCTTTTCTCAGTCTGGAGTTTTTTTTTTTTTTTTCTTCTTCTTTCCTGTAATTGAATCAAGAGACTTTTTTGCTTCTAAAAGGACAATCCATGTGATGTGTTATAAGTTCGGACATTGATTATTTATCTTCTAAAAAGACCTATTTGGTCCTTTCTTCAAGAGGAGAAGCACTATATTCCCTGAAAATAGGAGGGAAACCTGTAAATGATCACAAGGAACCTTTTCTCTGCATTGAGAAGAAGTCTTACCTTTTTTTCGTGAAGACCGTGTGAATAGGAGAAGACGTGGTTAGTTACTGTACAAAGTTTTAAGTCTGTTTTTGTCAATTCTTTTGGCACACGAAGGACTGGACGTTGAAAATGACATGATGAAACCTTGTGAACTCTCTCAGAGTTTTATCTTGTATAGTTGCAGAAATTGGACCGTCAGTATCTGCAAAGTGTTATGCTGTATGCTGAGACTTTTTATAAAAGTAATATTGTAAATCGTACCTTTTCTTTTATACAAAATAAATCAAATGCTTTATTTGACGCTGGTCTGTTATGCTTGTGTAAAAATGTCAATCTGCCAGTGTTGTGCTGTATATTGACCTTGCCTTTTATATCCAGGATTCAAAAGCAGTCACTGACCCTTCACACGTGCACATTCACCCACACTGATTGGAACCTGAATCAATCTTTTACATTGCCATATGGCTGTGTAAAAATGCATTCATTTCAGTCCATAGCTTTTTCTTAATATATAACTGTCCACAAATCATACAGCCTATCAGTTTTTCTTGCGATTGACCTCTTTCTCTTCCCGTGTAATGGAAGTTTGAACATTAATCGTGATCGTATCCACGGGTTCTCTCATTAGTATAATCTGTGTGTGGATGAAATGGCAGTTAAATCAATGCTTGAGCTTTTGATTTGTGGAATTCGGTTTGTAAAATAATTGACTGTAGGTTTACAGTCGGCCCCTTAATGAGCGCAAAAGAATAAATCAAGAGACCTGGATAGTGATTTTTACTATAATCAATTTTTTACAGCTTCAGCTAATTATTCAGAACTGTACACCAAATGCCCTGGACTAAAGTTTTGTGAATAAAGCTGAACAAATGTCAATGTTAGCATATTAGACATTAAAAATAGATTTAATTTATAGTGTAGTAAGTGACGCACACATTTGAAGGAAGTCATTTTGTGGGATGTAATTCAGGAAAACTATTTAACTACAGGAAGAAGAAAAAAAAAATAGTGGTATGTGCTCTTCTTTATTTCATACATTTCCGCAAAGTGTACATATAAAAATTAAAGGCTGAACCTCAAATGCATGCCAAAACCTCTTATTACTGTTGTTGATATGAAGAGTGCGCCACCTGCTGGCAGCCAGACTTCACCTCAGAAAAACAATGATAGTTTTCAGTTTCATGATTTATGGGGAAAAATGATTGGCAGTTGGCAAGTCTCATAAAAATACACAAATGTATGCGATTTTAAAATAAAAGTTTTTAAATGTTATGATTTTAGTGTGCAATCCATCAGCACACACTCACAAACGAAGCCTACGTTTAGTAGAGATTCACTTCAAATGTGTCCGATTTTTATTTTCAAATATAATAATGCATTATTTAAATTATAAAATCAGGAATTCTCAAAAGATCCGAAAAGAATTAAGTTTATTAATGTGAGAAAACACTGAAGATACTCACACACAAATCACTTACAGAAACCTCTATTATTTCTTGTTTTTCTCTTGACACTGATCACAATAGATTCAACTCATCTAAAACACTACAAGGCAAAATTCAAACAACAAGGATGACCTGAATGTGAACCTGGCATTCAATCACAAATAAATAACAGCTTTCACATCACTGATCACAGCAAAAACACCAGCACTAACTCTATATGGTTAAATCCCCACTCTACTTGATGGATTTCAATATTGTGGACCAATCTACACTAGATATTTAATGTTAGCAATGGAGCATGAAATAACAGGATTCGCACTAAACAAATCAGAAACTAAGAACAGCTTCACAGCCTCCATTTATTGCTTTTTTAGCACCACTCCAAAAATAGCAACAATGACAGTTCTCACACTTTTACACTGCATCTTCTTAATCAATATTTAGATTTTGTTTTCCAGTTAAAAAATCTAAATGTCCTTAAAACAAGATTGTGTAATATAATGAGACTTTTTTTTTTCGGTATCACTACAATAAGCTTCAATTTTTTACCATTAATCAGTACATTAGGTATAATAAACTAACACTGAATGACATTTTTTAAATACAGGTTAATATTATATAATAATTTCATGTTCATGTAATGTTCATTTATAATACGTTAATGTTAATTTATGCAACTTGAAAAGTTAAAAATGCATATGCAAAAATGAACATTAACCTAAATTAATAAAGCTGTAAAAGTATTTTTCATTGTGTTACCTAATGAATTTACTGATGTTAATGTATTGTACTTAAGTGTACACTTTTAAGTGTAAACCATACATTTTAGGTTTTATATTATAGGTTTTATAAATGTTATACTTAAATGATTTTATAACTTATTTTATTTTACTAATCATCGATTACTTGTTTTATGGACCTTTAAATATCTTTCACGCAAAACTAGCCAAAAATACTGATTAAGAAACTGCAGTGAAGGGTGATTTTTAGTTTGTGTTCATTATAAAAACAAACCTAATCAGAGTCAACACAGAAAATGTGCAGTAATGATGCCTGAATTAAGAGTTTCTCTGAATCTTTGCAGTTGTTAAGACTTTTTTTTTTTTACAGTAAGTTAGTAAGAAACCTTGTTAGGCTCACAGGACACTCTCTCGTTCCTCTGCAGCGTCGGTGGCGGGACCGGTGGACCTCTTCCGGTGGCCTCCACGCAGGTTCTGGTTGGGCAGCGTGGTGGTTTCGCTGCTGGATCCTGGTCGTATAATGATGGAGGGGCAGTCGGTGGAGTCAGGCGTCTCCTGCTGGGTGCTGTTGTTGATGTTGTTGTTGAGCGCAGTCTTGTCGGGTGAGCAGTTGAGGTTGCTCACGGCTGACGTGGGCCAGCTCTCCTCAGGGCTACTGCTGTCAGATGGAGCGTCGGAGCAGATGGACATCCGGGCCACGGCCTCATCCTGAAGGTTACTCAGCTTGTGTGGTAAGACTCGCTTCTTAACCGGACTCTCAAGAACCAGCTCGATCAGATGGGCCTCCTCTTCTTTCTTCTCACCGGACTTCTCCTCCTTCTCCTGAGCTGCTTCGCTCTCCTCGTCTTGCAGCGAGTGGTCGGATGAGCTCCTGCTGGACCTCACTCCAGAATCGGATGATTTCTTGTCCAGCATGATGTCTGAGATGAAGCTCTTCCCTTTAGCTAAGAGGCTTAGATCTGGTTCAGCAGCCCAGGGTTCTTCTCTCAGCAGCGGGGTGGCGTCTGTCTCCTCCTCACCTGAATCTTCTTCATCGCTCGGTATGCTGTGGTAAGACGGTCCCTGTCCTTTGGTCTTGCGTCTGGGTGGGATTTTAGTGGCGGACCCATGTTCTGACTTCTCATCCTCCTCTGTAATGGGATCTAGAAGAGCACCGTCTGGGATGGAGGAGAAGTCCACTATAGTGTCTGCAGGTTTGGAGCTCTTTTTGACGAAGGGTTTGCGCCCGTCTTGCTCACCTTCCTTAGTCTTCTCCTCAGAGCTGGCTGTGAGCAGGGCTTGAGCGGGACTCTCTCGTCCAGCAGCAGATATCTCCAGCTGGGACATGTGAGAGATGTATTCCTGGTAAGCATTGTGATACTCAGCTTGCTGCTTGTCGGTCAGCTTGCAGATGTCGTTGGATGATTCCTGAGAGTTCAGACTGGATATGCTTGGCGTCCGGTGAGTGTTGGCCTAAAGGAGAAGATCAGGTCAATTAATTGAGACAGTAGCATGAGAGAGAACCTGTTAGGTGATGTGGTAGCAAACACACAAAGCATTTCAAGCAAGAGTTTATCCAAACCCTCCAGCAGCAGTAACTGGTTGACACGCCAACATAGTAGGTGATGATAGGTTGTTCAATGAATTTTAAAACGAGTTTTCAAATAGGATTCCACGCAAGTGGGAATTTTGCAGAAGATTTTCCCATGCAGATTTTGCATCGAGTTCAGTTGGTCCTGTGAATTTGCTGCATTGACCAACAGAAAGCTGTTTGTTTGAAAGTGATTTTTGTTACACTATTGTCATAAATTGCTACACTATTGGCAAGTGGACGCAGTTGTAGCTACTACTGCTACACCAAATCATGTCAGAGGATTGGTTTTTGGGGATTCTGTAAAAAAATGCAGGGTCTTAAACACCCCAGTCTACAGGAAGTGCTAATCAACAGTAAGCTATTTTGGTCCCACTTTATATTAGGTGGCCTTAACTACTATGTACTTACATTTAAGTTAATCATTTGATACAATGCACTTATTGTGTACATCCATGTTTTTACATTGTACTTATATTTAAAAAATACCTGCATGTAATTATATCTGTTATAATTTCTGTAATTACATTTATAATTACACTGTTGACCCATCCCTTACACTTTAAACCACTCTTAAACCTACCCATACCACCAAACCTGTTCCTAACTTTACTCGTATCCCACCTCAATAGCAGCAAGTGTTTTGCAATACAATATGAACAAAATAAGTACATTGTACTTATTTCTTGATGTAAGTACATAGTAGTTAAGGCCACTTAATATAAAGTGGGACTGTTAACTCACTACTCCTCCCTACAATCATATTTTAAGTTTGATTCATTGTTCAAAATGGAGAGGAGAGAGTTGACTGATAACATTCTTTACTTATTAATTCAAAATATCTCTAGATATCATGCTAACTTTATCAGGAATTCATCTGACCACAATAAGCATGCAGTGAAAATCAGCCCTAGTCAATTTGATTTAGTTTCACAAGTTCTTGATTCAATTTGATCTAATTTTGATTCATTGCAGTGTATTTCAGTTCTTCAGGCTGATTCAAACAGATTCAAATTTTTGAACTATTCATTAAAAGCAGCAGCTCATTAGAGTATTTTTTTTGTGTGTGAATCAGACTACAAAGATCATATTGTATGTTTGTTTTTGCTTGCAGCCCATGAGGTCAACTAAACAGAAAGATTATTTCATGGTACACAGTCTTATTTCAACGCAATTCAATTCACTAAAAAAACGATCTAGGGATTTAAAGAAAGAATCAATTTAACACTTCATTTTTGCTTCCAAACTTAGCATGTTTATTCAAGAATGTATTCATTCAAGACTATCATATGGCTTCAGAAGACTTGGAATAAGTATCTCGGTGTGTTCCATGAGAAGTTATATAGGGTTCCAGAAACACGACAGTGAGTTTGAGGCAACTATCCCCCTTCAGTTGTGTTCCATATTCATCTATGAATTTTAGAAGGCTAACATCTCAAATGGAACACTCTTTTACTACATAGAACCATTCACATTTGAGTGCTCCATTTATGGGAAATGTTCTGTCGCAGATAGCTTTTGCACATTTAGCCCCTCCCCTTCCTGTACATCCACACTCCGTTTTCTTTTGAAGAAGTACATCATTTGGCTACTCATAATATACTACACCTCACTGCGTTTTTCAGTGTGAACACACTACGTAGGCTACAAAATGGTGTAAAAATAGCGCAGAGGTATGTGAAATGAGACCCACCAAAAGTCTGTTCACCACCAACTTTCATGATGCTAATCTAAACCATTATGAGCCCTTGCCAGGTGTTAACAGATGAGTGCAGAAATAGCTATCTCTGTGTGATAGAGAGCTAGCGTGTGTGTGTGTGTGTGGTCAGCTCTTCACTTCCTCTGCCCATCCAGGTCAGAAAACACTTCGTTTGTCACCCAGTAAACCACATGCTATTTTCATGCTGATGAGAGACTACTAAAAAGGAGAAGCTGCCTCTAAAGCAACAAAATACAACGGTCAAGAAAAGGTTTGGTTAAAAAGGCACAATAACAACAAAAAGTGCCATGTTTTCTTTGTCTCCACGCATGCATATGTTTGTGTTCACTTCTATGTATATAATTACACCGTTTTGTCATGGTGTGCACCAGTGTTTATCTATAGGCTGTACTTCAGTGCTGAATGTGTTTGTGTGCACAGCAGTACCACGCACCAGCCAGTGGGCATTGTGTTGTCTGGCGGGCTCCTCCAGCCCCACACCACTGAGCTCTTCAAAGCTTAGGTTGAGGCTGTACGTGAAGTTTTCTGGGTTGATGGCCATGTCTTGTGGCGCTTCAGAGGGTCTGTGGGGTTCGAGTTGAGTCAACACGCTGCTGCCCTGCTTGCTGCATGCTCCAGATTCATCACGCAGCAGCTGGTTCTCCATATGACGCTGCTCTAGAACCTACAGCACAAATACAGCAATGTTTAAATGCATTCAACAGCAACAGTGAATTTTATTCATTATAGTGGCAATGAGTTGAATGAACAAACTGACTGTAAACGGACAGACTGAAATTGTATTCCTGTATTCTTTTTTTTTTT